CTTTTATCTTGTTTATTTTCATCTCTTACTTTTTTTTGTATTCAAAATTACATATAAGCTTAAACATAGAATATAAGTATATTCAATTTTGAAATGAATAGAGTAAATGTTTATGTTCAAACCTTTTTTCTTGGTATGCACAGAAATTGAGAATGGGATTTATGTACATACATACTTACATGCATACATGTATCTACAAACTATGTTGTCTTATTTAATAAACAAACAAAAAAAATATGCATTTCTGTGTTTACTTTTGATTGGATAACTATTAACCGTTAAATAATTGGAGTGCATTGAGTCAAGGATGGCACAGCAGGTTCCTTTTTAGGAACTTAACGAAACTCGTTTTTAAACGATATTATTCCATATTTAAATATTGAGATTAGGATTGATTTGTTAAATTAAAAGAACACATACTGAATTACAATTATTTAAACTGTAAATTAACTTTTACAATGCCTACACGAGTATTTATTGCTCTTTCACTTGGAATTGTACTTGGCACAGAATTATTTGACAGCTATTGACAGTTGTAGTAGTTGACATTAATAGGCGGTTTAATTCAAAACCATACATTCAAAATGTATCATTTAACGTTTTTTTATTTAACGTATAGCCGTAATTGCCATTACTGTGTTTTTTTTTGTTTTTAATTATATTTTAAGCGCTGTCGGCAGCATGAATTTATATCGGCATGAATATCAACGGCCGTCCCTAATAAGCGCCAATGCCTATGCCCATGCGTTTTTTTTACAGCCTGGCAACTCTGGTAAATGATACCGCTAAAATTTCAATGTTCCGTTGAGTCAGACGAATGAGTTTGACTTTGTCAAATTTAATCGAATCTGGTATGTTTTTTTCACGACGAAGCTTGCCAATCAGTGATAGTCGAGCAGCCCTATTTAGTGTCAAAAGAACTCTTTCGGAATCATACTGTCATGAGCCAATATTCGAACAAGAGCTTTATAATGGAGACGGAGGGAGAAGAGCAGCTAGAGATATTGCACAATTTTGAGGACTTTGAAGATATGATGCAGGACCTCACAATGCCAATGGCTAAAGAGCTTTTCATGGCCCATCTTGGCCTGAGTAAACTTACTAGCACATCGGATGCGCAAAGCTGCAGCAGCAGCTACTACCTCGTAAGTTCCCAAGAGTCCGAACGCATTTCGAGCGAGGAAAAGACCAATCCGTGTGGAAAAGACCAATGTCACGTAAGTGAATTGTTTGACTTGGGTAATTTGTGAAATACAATTTTTTAATTGTCGGCCTGTTTCTGTAGCATATTGAGGAAGTGCAACATCAAGTGGAGCAAGCAGCCAGAGAGCGTGAGATACTACTGCAGATGCCGCGCGAGGAGCCGCTGCACAAGATGATTCGCTGGCTACTGGATTTGCCGCAGCGCTGTGATCTCACGCGCTTGTCCTTATCAGCGCTGCGTTGCAACGAATGCCATATGTGCGAGGGCGTCGAGTATCCGTGCACCCATTGCGGCCAGCAGTTCCATCAGGAGTGCCATTACGATCAAGGCAAACTCAAGCCCCATCGCCTATGTCCAACCTGTACACGCAATAATATCGAGTTCGTGGACCGATAAATATAACATCCGTGCAACCGTTGTGGCCAGCAGCTCCAGCGGGAGTGCCATGTCGATCAAGACAGACTAAGCCCCATAGGCTGTGTGCCCGTCCTGTACACGGAACCTTATCGAGTTCTTGGACTGATCAATTTAATATTCAATATTTATTAACATTTAATGTTGAAATAATACAATTACACAAATATTTTATTAATAATCATGTTGAACACTATGGAGGTCGGGGTCAGAAGCAGCAGCAGATGATGCTGACGCCAACGGCTATCGGTGCCATTGCACAAATCGCCCTGACAGAAGCACATATAAACCTTCTTATAGTTGTAGATGGTATCTGCACAGCGATCCATATTGTCATCTGGTCCGCGCTGCACGCACATGCGCTGTATGGCCAGATCGTAGTCTGGAGATAAGAAATTCAAATTATTATTGTATTAAGATTATAGGATATAGTTTATAGATAACTATATCTAGAGGTCTTACCATCTAAAGCATAGGGTCCGCCACCCTCAATCACCTTGCCGCACCAGCCGCTGGCACAGGGTATGGCCGAGAGGCCGGGCTCGTTGTCCACGTCTGTTGCATTGAATGTAAACGGATCCTTGCAGCTGCCTAGCTCACCACGGGAGCGACACTGATAGCACCGACGCAGAAGAGCTGTCATTGAGTAGCAGTCAAAGAGAGATAGACAAAGAGCGAGCGAATAAGACACACAAAGAGACAGTTACGAGGTTTTTCCATTTCTTGTAGTGCATTACGCACCCGCACATACACATGCGCAGTAAGAGTTACTATTACAGTTACGTTGCGCGCATATATGTATGCAAGTGCGTGCGTATGTTTAACAAAAGACTTTAATAGCAAACTTTCTTGTTAATTAGACCTACCGTCGATTTGTGGAGCATTGCTGGCGATTATAGCAAATATCACAGCTAGTATGAACACAGACGATTGCATGTTAGAAAAATAACTTAAACTTAATGAGTATTCGAATTGCGTTCAAGTCGTTCAAAATAGTGAGAGTAAGTTACTGTTGTATATTTGTTGTTGTTGTTGTTGTTTCTGAACGAAAATCAGAGGCCTGCCACTGCGCACACAAAATAAGTCGGTTGAGAAAATGCAACAGTGCTTTCAGAGCTGCCAGACCTCAATTACGTTTTCGTTTGACAACACTAAACACAATTTTTCCTATTATAGCACTGTGTGTACACACTGTGTCTAGTTTCGTTGTATTATTTCAGCGAAAAATTCATCATCTTAATATCGGGCGTATATTTTTGTTGTTATTTTTTATTCAATAAAAACTCAAAACAAAGTAACGAACGTCAGATGCAGCAATTCAGACGCTAAACAACAAATTTAGTGCCACGGATCACATTTACTAGCGGAGTGCACAAAAATAACTCGAGTAAAAGCTGCAGTACGTACGAAAAAAGAGTACAAAAAATAAAAGAAACAACAGAGCAACGTAAAGAAATTTTGCAAATTGTTCATAGAGACAAAACGACGGCCAGTCAGTCAGTCAGCCAAGCAGAGAGGCGGCACCAGAAGCAGCAGCAAACGCAGCAGCAGCAGAACAGCGTAATAAAACAATCTGCAACAATAAAATATTTAAATAGACATAATCTGCGCGTTTGTCATTCAGTCAAATCGCGAAGTCGGCGTCGACGTCGCAGCAGCTGGCGCTGCTGTTGCTGCTGCTCTGCTCTGCTCTGCTGCTGCCCTGCTGTAAAGCAACCATAAACGCAAACAAAACGGAGTAGCGGAAGCGTCGCTGCTGGCGTAGGCAGACACCTTGCAACTGCAGTCACTGTCCGCTGTCCGCACTCCGTTGTCTTTCAAGTTCAATGCGATTCGGTTGCAGCTTTTTTTTTTTATTGTTTGTGTTGTCATTACTGTTGTGTGCGTGTGTGTGCGCTGGTCTAACGCTTTCCGTGCATCCTGCAGCGGCTGCCCCCACTGACTGATTGACCCAAGGAACAGGCAACAACAGCAACAGCAACCGAGAGGCCAAGAGGTCGCCAGGAGCGCTATGGCATTGGACAGCGTCACGCAAACGATGACGGGCAGCAATGCGCTGACATCATCCTTTACGACGAAGAAGAAGGATGCCGCCGCCGCCGACAAGGAAAACCTCTGGTGAGTTGAGCTGAGTAAGAATCTATAAATCTATGTGTGCGTATGTGTGTGTGTGTGAGTGTGAGTGTGTGGGGACTCAGACATATGACGAGCAAATTGCGCTTGGCCTAAACAGCTGCTATTGGCTAAGAATTTTATTTATTAATTTTTTTTTTATATAATATATTTGTTATTTATTTTTGTTCTTAAATTTAGTTTTTCTATTTATTTTCATTTTTTAGTTATTTATTTTTGTTTAAATTTGTTGCATTTATTTATTTATTATTTTACTTTCTTTAGCTGACGTTTGCAATATATTTTTTTTGGCAACTGCTATCTTGCTTTTACTCCCTATCTGTATCGTCTATGTGTGTGGGCTTGTGTGTATGAGCAGCCGGCTGCAATTGCCACCTGCCACACCCACAACACTTGGTGTGGGGGCTGGCGAGGCAAAAAAGCAGCTGATTTTATGCCGCTCTTAAATTTAGTGCATGTTGTCATTTTGTGCCATGATTCGCCTAACCTCAAACCACGTTTGGCTCACACACACACACACCTGCACGCACATGCGCATTATATATGTGTATGTGTTTGTATTTTGGCAAATTTTCTCTTGTGCCAAATTTGTAATAGATTTGTGGCAAAAACACAGACTAAATGCTTAAAACAACAATACTGATATACAATATATGTATGTATGTGTGTGTGTGAAAGAGTGCGTGAGCGAGAGAGGGTGAGCGTGAACTAGCGTATGATTCATAAAACAGCTAAATCGAGGGCAGCGTCGCCGGCTGCGCAGTCGACAGCGCGCACCTTTTGCTTTATCAATTTTTGTTATGCCTAATAGGCAAGGTACACACACTGAAACAAACATACACACACGCACACATGCAAAGCCATAAGCCGAGCTATCGATAGTTCGACTCCATTAAGACTGTTGACAATCCAATTGGAATTTGCATTGCCCAATGAACGAAGACTAGCTTTAACTCAGCTCTATGCGTGTGAGTGTTTGTGTGTGCGAGCGCGTGTGCGTCTGCATGTGTGTACATGTGTCTCTTTGTGTGTATGTGTGCGATTTGGTGATGTTGTCATCGTTTAAATATGTACATGTTGCTCACCGTCAGCCGTTAGGGGGCGCGCATGTGCAAAACACCTTTTGACGCAGATCGATTTAGAATGCTTCGGAAAGCATGTGTAAGACTCCAATTAGATTAGCGGGAAACGATCAAACCATCTGTAATTTATTTCTAGAAATAAGAATCAATGGCTCGTTAATGTGTGGTTTGCACAAAACATATTGCACTTATCCAAATAGGTATATTTTCATAAAAAGCCCGTATTTTGTTTCCCATTCAAGCTTAACATCTAGAATTTCAAATGCTTAATTGAAAGAAATTTAATTCTCAATTGAAATGTTATTGCGAATTTGTTCGCGTTGGTTAATAGTCGTTACTGCAACATCGATAGTAATCAATCAATGTTAATTAACTAAGGATTAACTAATTTTCGCATATCAAAATTTGGGTTACATTTATATTTGCTTAAGCATATAGTTTATAATTGTATTTAGTTGTCGATAAATCTTTGAGTATCCATAGTCAATTGGTCTTTGCTATATTCCAGCAGTTATCAATCGATTTACGAGTCTTGTTTATAGGTATTAACAGTTTCAAATACTTGACCTAGTTTTCTTTTCGATATGTACTTATTGACTTATATTTACTAGCGTTATTTATCGATATTTCTATATTGATCTTATAGTTTTCATTTCAGTTATCAGTAATTCCAAATCGATATTTATCGATATCCGTATATATTTGTATATTAGTTAATATGAGTAAATGTTTTACATTTTATCGATGAAGACATCGTCGTTATCGTTGTCGTTGTCATCGTTATCGGTGTGCGTGGCCTGCCGTTGCTGCTTATCGAAATTGTTCTGAATTCGCTCCAACAAATCGGTAGCAACAAGTGCAAAATCCTCCCACAAAGCATCTGGAGCCGCATCTGTCTCCAATTCCGTATCCGGCTCCGGCTGACGCTCTTTTCTCGATTCCTGTTCCTCCTCCGGCTCATCGTCGTTGGCCTCGTCGCCATTCGTCAAGCGCTCCTCATCCAAATAGTCGGCCAACAGATCGCTGACCTCGTCGAGAATGCTGCCGCTACGGCACAGGGCTGTCGCGCATTGGCCATCGATCAGCAGATTCCACATGGCTTGGCACACAATGTTCGCGAGAAACCAATCCTCCTGCTCCAGAGCGCCGCGTAGCAGCAGCGCCAGCAGCTCGGCGCCACGTAACTGCAAAAACGGAGCCCGCTGCTCGCCGTCGCCCAGCAGATTGACGAGCACTCCAATGGCGCAGGTGCGCAGCTCGTAGTCCCGGCCGTTCGCCTGCCGCGTCAGCTGCTGCACGATCAGGGGCAAGCCACCGGCGGCACAGAAGCAGCGGCGCGCCAGCTCGTTGCGCGTCAGGTTGCCCAGGACACGGGCCAGCTCCACCTTGGTGGCCACGTACTGCGACTGGCAGCGCTTGAGCGTTTGAGCCAATGCAGTGGACAGCTCGGCAATGAGACTCTGCAGCGAACCGGGCGCCGGAGCGACATCTGGAGCTGGAGTAGTCGTGGTCGTGGCTGCTGGCGATGTTGCCTGGTTGTCCTGATAGAAACACAGATTGTGCAAGGCGCCCAGCGTGGCATGCAACAGCTCCAGCAGCTCGGCCGGCTGAGCGGATTCCGTTGCTGTGGTGCCCAGTGCGGCGGTTGCATTCTGCAGCAGCCGGAATAGGACAGCGCCCAGCGCATGAGCATTGCCCAGGCCGGCGCCCACATCCGCATTGACGCTCATATTGGCCACCACACGGATCAGCTTGATCTGGGCATCCAGCAGCGGCTCGCTGGCCAGCGGACGATCGCTGAGCTGCTGCAGCACATTCAGCAGATACTCCATGGCCACGTCGTTCTGATAGTACTGCATAAGCAAAGAGAAATATGATTATTTAAATGTATTATATATTATATCTATGTTGTAGAGATGTGGACACAGACCTGGACGCGCGCCGTTTCGTGCTTGGCCAAAATGTTGCCCAGCATATAGCCCAGGCGACTGAGCACGGCCAGCATGCGCTCGGTGCACTGGCCGCCCTTGGAGTAGGGGCCCAGCAGCAGGCCAATGCGAGCGGCATAGTTGTGCAGCGTATCGCAGCACTCCACATCCTCGGACAAGACGCTGCCAGGGAGAGAGCGGCATATTAGAAATCCAAATGGGAAAAGCCAATCGAAGTCTTTGCTTACCTCAGCGTGCGCACCACATTCGCTTGCACCTCCAGCTCGCCCATGGAGACCTCGGCGGCGCGTATTAGATGCGGACAGGCCAGCTGCAGCTGCAGCTGGAGCCGCTGCTGCTGTTGGGCCACGTCGGCGAGAGCGCGCATCGCCGCCGACAGCTGGTAGAGCGTGTGCAGCGGCGGACCGCTGAGACGACGTGTGGCGCCCGCCTCGTTGAGCATCTGGAGATGCAAAATCATCAGCTCGACGGCGCCGTGGCGTGCCAGGCGCGACACCAGCGTCTGTTGGCCATTCAGCTTGCGTGTGTCGGACGCACTTGGGCTGATCAGGGCTGTGGCAGCTGCTATCGCTGCGTGCGTCGGCGGCGACGATAGCTCCTCCAGGCCAGCGGCCCAATTGCGATTGAGCGCATCGTCGCGCTCCTGCGCATTGCTGGCGGTGAGAAATCGTATGCAGCCATAGGCATAAATGCAGGCCTCGGGATCGTCCAGCGGCGAAGCGTGACCCAGGCCATCGATCAGCAGCTCCAGCACATCGTTCTCGTGGAACAAGCCGTCGTGCTGCTCGTGGCGAGCCACCTTGAAGATGAGCTTGCAGGCGCCGGTCAAGTTGCTGCCCGTCACGCGTAGCTATACGAAAAGAGGAAGGCTTTAGACTCTCAGGAATTCCAATCAAATAATAAGCATATGGTTATTGCGTCTGAACTTATCGTCTATCGATATTGAAACACTATGCAAGAAGCGAAGAGGTTCTACATACGGAAAGTGTGGATAGAGGATATTGACGAGACTCTAAGGAATTCGAATCCATCAATTGCATATGGATAAAGACTATGACAGATGAAATGGATGAAGAGCATGGATTATTTTTGATAAGTTATCGCATATATATATATAGAGTTTGAAGAGACTCTAAGGAATTCTAATCCATCAATAGCATATGGATAAAGACTAATGATTCCTTGCGATAAGTTATCGCGCCTTATCGTTTATCGATATACGCTTATATTGTGAAACACTTACCGCCAGCACAACACGCGCCACAGCCAGCAGGATTCGTGGCGACGTGCACTCGACCAGGCCATAGAGTCCACCCAGGATGAAGGCGCGCTTGAAGTTCCTCTCCTGCTTGTGCACGCGCGTATACAGCTCCAGCAAAATCTGCAATCAGCAGCAGCGAGAAAGAGAGAGAGAGAGAGTGAGAGAGAGAGAGAGAGAGAGAGAGATGAATTTATAATCATGAATACGCTTGCCACACTTACCGCATTGATGTGCTGCACTGTCTCGGCGCTGCAATCCTTGAGGCCGGCATGCTGCTTCAGCATCTCGATGAGCATCTCGGAGCTGCACTGGCCCAGCAGGGCGCCATTGCGCGTGGCCGGCCGAGCGCTGTCTGCCGCTGTGCCCGGCAAGGCGGGCAATTGCCGTGGCTTGGCATCAACACTGCGACGATTCAACAGAGCGAGATCCGTGCCGCCGGCTGGCGTTGGCGGCGTCAATGGCTTATGGTGCTCATTCTGCAGATATCGCATGCTGTGTGTAGGTGTGTGTGTGTGTGTGTGTGTGTGTGAAATGGGAAGAGACTTGTCTGAAAATTGAGAGAGCTATTGAGAGAGTGGGCGGTACTCACGAGAAAGCGCTAGGCGGACGGCCGGCCAGCGCCACCTTGCCGTAGAGCACACGTCCGGGCTCGCGTGGCGTTATGGGACGCCGTGTGCTGACCAAGCGGGCGCCGCCAGCTGCGGTCATTGTGGCCGCCGCCGTTGTCGTTGCCGTGGACAGGTCGCCCAGGTAGAGCTTTGCCTCGCTGATGAGCTCAGCGGAGGTCTTGCGTCTGCCCATGCCGGTGCCCAGACCCAGGTGTTGTATGCTATGTTCGTTGTCCTTTTGCGGTTGTTGTTGTTGCTGTTGTTGTTGCTTTTTTGTTGTCTCTTGTTTTGGTGGCGCTGCCGCTGCTGTTGCCGCTGCCGCTGCCGCTGCTGTTGCTGTTGGCTGAGCACGGGTCTCGCTGCGCGACCGTCGTTTTAGCAGCAAACTCATTCTGACAGTGGGGAACAACTTCGACTGCTGCACTGAAATTGAGAGCTGGAATCTTGGGATTGGCGGACTCTGGTCCGGCTCGATGTATATTTGTGGTCCAGTTTAGACGCGTGGCGCGGCCAAAGTGCGCAAAGGTAATGCCAAACGTCTTGCCTCCTGCCTGGCCAATTGGCCTGCCTTTGAGCCAGCCAGTCGGGCGAACTTTGAAAGCTTGGAAAATATTTTTCGTTTGGGCCTTTCGTGCACCATGCCAACCGGCCTGGAACTAGCCCGGGTGACGACTGGTAGGAGGGGGGTGGGCACTGCTGCCGGGTTGTTTGCATGTCGAGCGAGTGAGCTAGCCAACCCCCTTTCAACTAACCGTCGCCCCCTTTAGCCAAATGCTAGCCAAGGCACAGTGAGGCGAAAACTCCTCAGAGTTCAAATAGTTGTAGCAATAGAAAATGTAAAATTGCTTATA